TTTTTTTAAAAAAGTGTGAAAAGATTGTACTATACTCATCATATGCAGATGATCAATTATTAGGAAAATCTAATCTGTTATCTGCATCAACAGGAAAACTATTATATTTAATATTTGAGTTTAGTAAAGGATCTGATTGCAGGATTATTTTATAAAATTCAAGAGGGGTTTGGGGAGATGGCTCAGTGGAATAAGCACTTCCCTGGCAAGCGCAAGTACCTGAGTTCAATCCCCGGTTCCGCAAAAAAAAAAAAAAAAAAAAAAAAAAAATTCAAGAGGGCTTTAAAAACAAAAAAATACAGGGACTCAAATTCCTGGGCCAAAGCTCTCGTTCTGTCTCAGCCTCCCAAAACCTGTCACTGGGCTGCCTGGGATTGTGTGAGCCCAGCCTCGGCTGTGACTGAGTTATAGCTGTGCCCCCCAAACCCAAACACCGGTCCCCTTTTGTTTTGCGGCGCTGGAGATTGATTTCCGGCCTCATAAATGCTAGGCAAGTGCTCCACTAGGGAATCACATTCTCAGCCCCCAGTTTTGTTTTGTTTTTTAATATTTATTTAGTGTGTGTGTGGCCAGTTCAGCCCACCAGGGGGCGGGGCTGGCTGGCATGTGGTGCTGGGGGATTGAACCGTGGTCCCTGTGTTTTGCTTAGCTTAGCTTGCTCTAAGTAGGTGCTTTAAACCACTGAGCCATCTCACCAGCCCTCAGCCCCCAGTTTTTAAGTTTTAAAGAGACAGATAAGTACTTAGAGAATAGATAGGAACAAGATTCATAATTAAGAGTTAAGCTAGAAAAAAGATTCCTTGGCCTGAATGGCAAAGTAGGAATTTGAGAAACGATAGAGGTTGAGATATGGATCTCAACCCCTAATAAGAAGTCCTGTGTACAACATCACCAAGATCAAGCCTAATCTGTGAATCCCACGAAAAGAGAAAATCCCTGTGCCTGAATTCTCAGGTACAGTCTCAGGAATTCCACCTCAGGTGAAAAGATCTGAAAGAGAAAATGGCTGCATGGGGGGGGGGGCCGGTTATGGGGCACTCTCGTAATCCCAGTCCTTGGGAGGCTGAGGCTGGAGGACTGCTTTGAACTCAAGGTCAGCTTGAACTACATGGCTGGCGAGGCCGAGCCTGCCTAAAACAAACAAAATAAAAATTGCTGTCTTCCTGGTTCAGTGCCACACCAAATCCCTGCACCCGCAATTACCCACGTGAACAGAAGACAGATCCTATAGTAATTCTGGCGCTGCCCCCACCCTCCTAACCCACCCCTCATGACCAGGCATGCTGCCTCATTACCGCTGGGCAGTCTGGTCCTGTTTTCTGGAGCCACTCTTGGTGCCAACAAGACTTTGTGTGAGTTCAAGGTAAGTATGAGTCCAAGGGCCAGGAATGAAGGCCAAGGGCCAGCAGCAAGGGAAAGCCAAGAGCAAATGGTACATAGAAGGTGTCAGACACGCGTGTATCTGGACCCGCGAACTGAGATTCACTGCTGGTGCACATTCAACCCAAAGTGTCCTGCACATTCTTTAAGCCTCAGCTTTCTCTTTACACAAAGAGAATACCACCGCCAGCTTTAGGATTGTTGTGAGAATAAGAAATCCTACACGGACACAGTCTGATCATGACCCAGGTCAAATAACCCCTCACTGCATAGCATGATACATATTAATCCATGATGATTAATAATATGACATTGTACCCGACTGTATTAGTCTTCAGTGAGCAATTACTGTTTACCTGGGTCCCTAGGGTGGCACTGCTGACCCAGAAGACAGAATTACTTTTTTTTTTTTTTTTTTTTTTTTGAGACAGGGTCTCACTGTGTAGCCCAGACGGGCCTCAAACGCATGGAGATCCTCTGCTTCAGTCTCCTGAGTGCTGGGATTACAGGTGCACCCCACCACACCCACCAACAAACAAAATCACTCCTGGTCGCAGTCCAGGGACTGTGCGAGCAAAGGATCCCTAGAGTCTGGAGCAAGCGAAGCAGGCTGCAGCAGGCCAGGTTAGCCGCGCCTTGTCTTTTGGGAAGGCAGGTATAAACCTGGGGGACACCGGTGAGAGGTCCATCCCTCCATAGATGTCCCCTCTGGAGGAAGGGCGGGCTAAAGGCACAAACCCGGATGCGGGGCCACACTTGTCGACGTGCTCAAGTTAGCAGTTGCTACCGTGTCCTCTTCTCTCATCTCACCCTAGTGGGTGAGATTTTTTATAGCCAAAGAAGCCCAGAAGACTGGTGACGCGGGTGACCATTTTCTCTTTTGGCAATCATCTCGTATTGCTCTAGTTTGGTTTTCCCTAAGAGGTGGTGGAAACAAGCCCGGCGCGCGCCGCCGGACCTCGCGGGCTCCGCCGCGCCCCGCCCCTGCCGCGCCAGTCCCTGGGAGCCGGCGCAGCCAGCCGCGGGGCGGGGCGAGCCCGGCCTTCTGCGCGAAGGTCTCTGGGAGCGTTTCCAGGGTGCTGCCGCTTTAAGAGGGCGGGGCTCTGCCCGGAGGAGGCGGGAGGCCCCGCCCCGGATCTCCGGCTTCCGGCAACTCCGCGGGAAGGAAGCGCTGGCCGGGCCTCTCGGGCCCAGGGGACCCTGGCTGCGCGCGGGGTGCTGCGGCTGCGGCTCGGCTCCTGCCCTTACAGCTTGCCGCGGCTTCAAACTTGCAGGGTCGCCTCCTACGCTGCCCGGCTGCGTGCGAAGTGCCTCACTTGCGCGGTGTTTAATGGCTCCTGTACGGTGTGATTAGGCGCCTTTGTGAACCCGTTTTACAGATGAGGAAGCTGAGACCCGGAGGAGCCCCACACAGCAGAGAAAAGACGATCGGGAATCAAACTCAGGTCGGTCAGATCCCAAAGCCATGTCCTTAACCGCTGTCTGGCCTGAACATTTTTTGTTTTCTGTCTCTTGACCAACCTCAGCCTCTCTCCCTCATCCCGCCACCCAGGCTGCATCCCTCCGTCCCTAAACACCCACACGGTGGGCGTGTGAATTGGGTGGAACTTGTGGACCTACCGCGCTAAGTTTCTTGTTCTGTTCTGGTTTGGTTTGGTTTTGTTGTGACGGTCTCGCTATGTAGTCCAGACCCGCCTTGAGTTTACTGTGTTGCTCAGGCTGGCCTCGAACTCCAAGCAGTCCACCCTTGTGCCTTAGCTTCCTGAGTGCTGGGATTACAGGCGTTCGCCACTACCCTTGGCAATTTCTTTATAATAGTTTTATATTTAGACCTATAAGCCCCACTGACAAAGGGAACAAGGGCAAGTAGTACCTTTTCTAACACTGAAATGGGTTTTGTCTGTAGATGTTTTACTTTATTATTTGATAAAATGTACTTTTCTTTTCCTCTTAGGCCTCTGCACATTTCCCTCCTCCTAACTGGGAGAAGACCCACCGGCTGAATGGCAGCTGTGGATAACTTGCAATTTGAAGGTATAGCGATTGGATGGCCACCTTTATGATGGCGAGTTCTGCACTCAAAGCAATGCATTTTTATTTCTATGGCGGCTTGTAAATTATTTCACACACCTTGGTAAGAGACGGTTGGTCACACCCGTCATTTTAGTGTTTGTCCCTGCCAAACTCTTTGACAGTCCTTCTTCCTCAGCCTCTGGGGTGCTGGGATTAACCGTTGACTCCCCACCCCCTCGGCCGGGCTCTAGTGTTTTTCTCAATAAGAAATGGAGGCACAGAAACTTGAGCAATTTACCTGAAGATGATATAGTTAGTAAACCATCAAGAACGGATTTGAACCCAGGCAGTCTGGCATTGCAGACTTTACTGATGAGGAAGATCTCTGATTAATGGAGAGAAATCCCTTCTTTGACAAACACTGCCGTATCCATAGTAGGCTTTGCACCTGACTGCTTCCCACAGCTTCCACCTCTACTCCTAACCATGACACTTACCATCTTTTGGCCTAATTATAGCCCTTATTGTCATTCTTCTAGTTTCTTGTTTCCACCCTTAACCCTCCAGAGAATATAGTCTGCAGCCTTGATAGTCTTTAAAACTAAGTCAGGTTGTGTCATTCTTTCAGAACCTTCCATTAGTTCCCATCTTACTAGGAGTGAAAGCTGGGGCTCTGTGACTTAGGAGGCCCCCCACAGGATCCAGTCTTCTTCCTCTCCCCTGATTTTATCTCCTGCTGCTCTTGCCTTTCCTCTCTGCCCCTGCAGCAGGGCCACATCACTATTTCTGGTATTATCACAGTTTAGGGGTTTTGTGCCATCTTTCTGTCTGAGACCATCTTTCTCCAGTGAACCACATGACTTATGCCCTTGCTGCAGTCATATTTTGCTTGCTTCATTAGAGAGGCTTCTTTGGAGTGAGAGGCAAGAAAGTTCAAACATAGAGAATAGTATGTGCAAGTCCTGAGGAGAAAAGAAGTTTGATTTTTTCCCTCACAAGACTGAAAAGGTGGGGGCCGGGGAGATAGTTCAGTGGAATAAGCACTTGCCTGGCAAGTGAAAGGACCTGAGTTCAATCCCTGGTTCTGCAAAAAAAAAAAAAAAGGGGCTGGTGAGATGGCTCAGTAATCTAAAGCACCTACTAAGAACAAGTTTAGGAAAGCACAGGGACCACGGTTCAATCCCCCAGCACCACATGCCAGCCAGCCCCGCCCCTTGGTGGGCTGAGCTGCCCCCCCATATAAATAAATAAATAAATAAATAAATAAGATTGAAAAGGTGTGTGTTCCAGACCCCACATGGGGGCAGAGTGGAGGACTGGCAGAAGTGAGGCTTGAGGGGAGATGGGCAGTGGTTAGTGCAGGGTTAATAAAGTGGGCTGTGGGGGTTGTAGGTGGCTTCCTTGGAGAAAAATGGTAGTGGTACATGGAAAAGTGGAGGTAGAAGATGTGTGAGGGAGGGAACAGAGGTAAAACATGGCTTAGGAGATGCCAGGATGTAGAAGTGGAGAACGTTGATGGCAAAAGTCAGACCCTAGCCTGTCCTCAAGGAACTAAGGTGGACAAGAGTAACGTGCAAAAAATTCTAAATTGTATCATGCTAGTAAGTACGCACGGTGCACACTCCAATCAAAATGTGGCGTCTGCTGCCCTTCCTCCACCAGAGGCACTTCCTTGTTCTGGGTCTTGCTCACCTCCCAGCCTGTACCTGTGGTGCTTCCCTATTCCTCTGGCTACTTTTCTCACCTTTTTGGATCTCCAACTACTGTGGATGAGTTACCTTCCTTTGAGTCTCCCTGGAATCTGCCTTTCTTAAATGCCCCCTCTCTATTCTTCCTCCTGGCCTGCCCTTCTCTCTGGTAAACTTTTTAAATACATGTTTTAAGTATATCTTACTTGGTCTGAGTCCCTCTGGCAAGGCTGTGACCATCTTTTTTAATGCTGGTGCCCTATCCAGTAAGTCATGGTAGTTCTAACCTCGTGTATTACAACTGGGAGTAATTTGTCCAGGATTATGGGTCATCAACTAAGTCTCAACCTGAACAAAGAGCTGTCTTATTCTAGACCTTCATGCTGTTCCAATTGTTGCCTGAGGCTGAAATAATTGTTATGTATTAGCTGCCTGATTGATTTATTTACTTTGGTTTTCTCCTTAAAACTATTCTTTTAGCTGACAGGAAATGAGTGTAAACTCAGTTTTTCAAGAGCCCCATCCTGTTGACAGAATCTGTGTCCTGCTGTAGTGTTAATAATGGTAGTGTTCCTAAGGCCTTCAAAGGCTGAGATGCCCTGAATTTTATTCAACTGCAGCTAAATAAAGTGTGTCAGGATGCCCAGAGACAGGCAGTCCCAGTCACTGCTGGTGGATATCAATGGGTCGGACTCTTTTGGAAAGCAGGTTAGCAGTATGGCTCAAGAACCTTAAGCCTGGTGACATAGTGAATGCACTGGTAGGTGGTCATCCTGAGACAGTAATCAAAATACTTTCTCCACAGACAGTCCTTACATATTTTAAAGACTGTGAAAAGAAGTTTTATATGTAATCACCAGTATATAAAAACAGGATACAAAATTGTTGGCAGTCAGCACCCTGGAAACATGAATAAATATTTCTTGAATTAATGACAATCACTGGCATGAGTCTCACTATATAAAGAAAAGGAAGTTACTAAATTCATAGCTTTTATTTCTTTATTTTGGCCGAACTGGGGATTGAACACAGTTCCTTGCGCTTGTCAAGCAAGCGCTTATTCTACTGAGCCATCTCCTTGGCCTCAGTGTTTTTATATGAAGAGACTAAGAGCAATTTTTATTATATCATTTGTACTTTTTGTCTTCATATTTTCTATGATTATCACTTACTGGAACATAAAATTTCTTTTCTTCTTCTTTTTCGTTTTTTTTTTTTTTGGTGAAAGCAGGGATTGAACCCAGGCCTTTACGCTTGCCAGGGAAGTGCTTATTCCACTGAGCCATCTCCCTGGCTTCTGGAAAATAAAATTTTTTTTAAACTTTAATGAAAGAAGAGAGGTTTAGATTCGGCCAAACATTTAGCAGACTTGACTTAGATAATATTCCAGACTCCTCCCTCTGATATTTTTGTGGGGTTTGTGTGTTTTACTAGGGTTGAATTCTGGACCTTTGCATTGAGCTGCATCCCAGGTTTTTTTTTTTTTTTTTAAAGAATACAAAATTGGGAGGGGGGTTGACCATATTAGAAACGATACAGAATTTCACTAAATAAAATAATAGGAATTTGACAGTGGTTGTTGTATTACACAGTGTTATCTTCAAATTAGTTTACATTACCAGATGGAAACATGCAAAATTGTACCGCTGCTGCCTCCTTCTGCCACTCCTGGTGCTGCTTGTGTGCTCATTCGGTGCGGACCTGGTACTTTTGTGAAGCGGCAGCTAAGAAGACACGGGCATTCGCTGTGGCGGACAAAAAGCCCAAGGAAGGAGTCAAGATTGAGAACAACGATCACATTAGTTTGAAGGTGGCAGGGGAAGGATGGTTCTGTGGTGCAGTTTAAGATTAAGAGGCATACACCACTTAGCAAACTAATGAAAGCCTATGTATGGTGAACGACAGGGTTTGTCAATGAGGCAGATCAGATTCTGATTTGATGGACAGCCAATCAGTGAAACAGACACACCTGCACAGTTGGAAATGGAGGATGAAGATCCATTTGACATGTTCCAGCAGCAGACAGGAGGTGTCTACTAAAAAGGGAACCTGCAACTACTCCAGAACTCTGTTCTAACAGACCAAGAATACATTCTCAATTAGAAAACTGCAATTTGATTCCACCACATCCTGACTACCACAGTATAGTTTTCCTTATTCTTTCCTTTACCCCTTCCCCATTCCTTTATTGTACATAAAGTATCTGGTGTATGTGCACAAGCATATTACTTTTTTTTTACTAACTGGCCATCAGTATGTTTTGATTGACATCAAATGGAGATAAGATGGGGAATTACTGGTTCTGTGAAAATAATCCCCTTTCTCCACTAGTGGCATGCTCATCAGCTCTTATTTTTATATTCCAGGAAGTTATTTTGCTCTCACTGTTTTAACAGAAAAGACAGCAGCATAAAATTCCTTGCATACCCTGTTTGATTGGAGAATTTTAATGTTTTTCATTTATCATTGTAAAACCAAGGACAATTTTATAACTGTTTTGTATGTAGCTGTTACATGTAGGGCAATCTGTCTTTAAGTAGGAGTAAATTACTCTTTAAAAAAGAAGAATCCTAGTTTTCCCTTTAAGTCAAGTGCCTTGTTGTTTAAATAAACTTCTTGTTTAAAATGAAAAAGAAAAAAAAAAACATGCAAAATTGGTTTTAAAAAAAAAAGTTACAAGAAATTAAAAGGGACTAAGTGAGTTCCCATCTCTTCTCCACCACCTTAGACCTGCCTCACCGCATGGTTTTCCTCTGTAAAAGTCCCTGGAAGAGACAGCTTCCCAGGGACCACCCGCTCGTGGGCCCCCCTCCTGTCCCTCTCTCAGATAGGAACTTTGTTTCCCTCAATAAATATATCCTGCTCATAAAAAAAAGAAAGAAATTAAAGGGGGAAAAATAGAAAAAATTTAAGCATTAACTGCTCCTTTCAATAGAACAGAAGAAATCAGCGGTACAGTTATCCAATCTATCCTGTGTATATACATAAATATATCTTTTTTCCGTCTTTTGTCCTTTTCCTCATCCCAGTTTTTCTTTCCAATTAAACAGATTCTTTTTCTTTTCACAGTGTCTGTTGTACCTTTCAGATTTTGTTTACTCTTTCAAGTTCTTACACTAGCAAGACAATGCAGTGTTTGCACATGGGGGTCTGATTTATTTCATTTACCAGTATGGTCTCTACTTGCATCTATTTACCTATAAAAGCCTCGAGTTTATCTTTCTTTATAGCTGAATAATGCTCCATTATGTAAAAATACCACATCTTTTTTATGCATTCCTCAGTTGATGGGCATTTGGGTTGTTTCCAAGATTTAGCTGGGACAAATTGCGCTGCTATAAACATGAGTGCACAGAAGTCACTGTGGGATGATGTTTTCAGTTCATTTGGAAAAATACCTAGGAGGGTCACAGATAAAATTAAAGAAGAAATTAAACAATATTTACAGTCAAACAAATAGAATTTACCAAATGTGGGATGCAATGAAAGCTGTCTTGAGAGGGAAATTTATCGCGGTAAATTCTTACATCAGGAAAACAGAGTGAGCCCAAATCAACAGTTTTATGCTGCACCTCAAGCTTCTAAAAAATAAAAACAAATCTGACCCAAAGAAGGCAGGAAATTATACAGATCAGAGCAGAAAAGAATACATTGGAGACAAAGAAAACAATACAAAGAATTAATGAATCAGAGTTGGTTCTTTGAAAGAGTAAATAAAATTGATGAACCCCTAGCCAACCTTGTCAAAAGAAGTAAAGAAAAAATTCACATTCATGTAATATGGAATGAAAAGGGTAAAAATCACTGTATAGACCCTATAGAAATTCAGAAGGTCGTCAAAACCTACTTCCAAAATCTTTACTCTCAGGCTGGGGAAGTAGTTCAGTAGAATAGG